ACTTGTCTATTATGGATGGTTTTCTTGACAAAATAAGACATTAAAAATGTTATTACAAACAATGTTAATAGACATTCTTCTATGTATATAAAGCTTTGCCCAATAGTCCTAGTCTTAGGACACTTTCTAAAGGTAAAAAGAACATGAATATTTATCCTGAAAAATAAACATTCTTATGCCACAGTTCATATGATCACTTGGATTTCCAACCATTAAATTTTACTAAAATATGATTATCTAGTTAAGCAATATTCACAAACATACTTACTTATAATAGTGTTCCCATAGATTTCTGTATCTTCCTTGACCTGACATATCAAACACTGTAAAAGACAAACTAGACGGGAAAAAAAGAAGGCCAAAAATAACTCTTACTTAATACTTTAAATTGTTTTTAATCAAATCATCATTGTCATACAATAATCATTGTAGGCCATTTTTTTCAAGAAAAACTTCTCTCAAATGAACTTCTTGATAAAAATATGATTTTGCAATGTGTAACATATAGAAAAAAGATGTTTTCTTTGCAAATGAGGGGATCAGAGTATGTCTGAATGGTAAGTTCTAAAAAATAAAGGTAGTGGTACAAAAATGTTACTTTTAGTAAAAGTAGGATTGATCAGGTATATCTAATATTGTCATTTTTTTAGCCACAACTTCTTAGTCACAGGGATAATGTAGATTACCTGGATGACTTGAACTTCTCTATGCTGAATCCAATAGTTGGAACTATATCTTGAGACTGAGCCTTCAAGAGAAAAGACAAAGTTTAGAAATTTGTCATTATCAAAGATGAATTTTTCCTCAAGTTAACAAAAAGCATCCAGATTTTCCATTTCTAAAATATACCACTAAGGAAATGACAGGGTTAAGCAAAATTAAAATCTTTGCAATAGGATAACTGTAAGTTCTTTTTAGAAGTCTAATGTTTACTAATAATGAATCTGTATAGCATGTAGATCTTAATTTACATTGTGTTATAGTAAGCAGTAACCAACAACTTAAAAGTCTTTACTTCGAGTCCATATATATAATTTTCTGGGGGTTTTTGTTTTTGTGGTGCTGGGTACTGAACCAGGGCTTTGTGAATGTTAGGCAAGCACTTCACCTGAGCTATGCCTCTAGTCCCATTTGTAGGACTTTCTAAACTTTCAACACATAGTTGCTGCATTTATTCATGTTTGGGGCTTCCCTTATGTCTGTATGGTCCCAGCTCCCTAGGAGTTAATTACTTAGAGAAAATAAAAAACAATCAACAGCTTAACAAAATTAAGTGTTACAAGTTAATGCAATTTGGAGCAGTGATAAATACAAAGAAATGGTTGAATACAGTATGGCAGAACAGAACTGGTATGGTGGCATGGGAGAAGAGTGCTTAGGAAAAGCTGATCTGATAAGATGACATCACCCAGGGATGAAAAGAGGAAAGGAACAAGCTATGACAAGTTCTTGGCAAAGTACATCAGTCAGAGGAAGTAGCCAGTGCAATGATTCTCTGCCAGGAAGGAACTTGCCTCCCAGGAAAAGTAAGCCTGTATAGCTACAGAGTACTGATAAGTAAAAGAGAAGTATACGTTGATGTAAGTTCTAGCAGGGAGTTCTGCTTGGAGAATATTGAAAGGCAGCAAGAGCACAGACACCTGTTGGGTGGACGATTTAGCTTAGTGGCACCATGCCTGCCCAAGATCATGAGTTCAATCCCAGTTACCGCAAAAAAAAAAAAAAAAAAAAAAGGAGAGAGCGAACACATCTGTCGAAAAGTCTAAAGGGCAATTAAACTGACAACCTAACTAATCAAATACTCTTAGCACTTTCATCATCAAAACTATCCATCCAATTGAATAAAATGTATCTAATTTCAAATTCAAGTACTCTGAAGTTAGGTATTTTTGATTCCTCCCTTTTTTTACATATCATTTATAACCATTCTTTAAGCTTTATTGGTTCTGTTTCAGTATCTTAGTTCTGGCCCTTATCATTCATTGCTGAACATTACATTAGCCTCCTAATTATTATAATTGGCTCTAATATTTTAGCCTAAGTTTTCTTAAATGTGATATATATTCAAGTACTCTGAAGTTAGGTATTTTTGATTCCTCCCTTTTTTTACATATCATTTATAACCATTCTTTAAGCTTTATTGGTTCTGTTTCAGTATCTTAGTTCTGGCCCTTATCATTCATTGCTGAACATTACATTAGCCTCCTAATTATTATAATTGGCTCTAATATTTTAGCCTAAGTTTTCTTAAATGTGATATATATTATTAAACAATGTCCATAAATAATCAGGTGTTTACTATTATTATAATAATACTCTCACTGATTTTAGTCAGTGGTATCCCCAGTTTTTTCCAAACTGCTACAAATTTAACTTCAAAAAAATCCTTCAGTTTTCCTTGTCACTTTTATGTCCAAATGGGAGAAGTAGAGGGGAAATTTTGCCTCACATAACTGTTTGCTATCTGGTAGTCCATTTCTGAGCATTTTAAATTCAAATAGAAAGACAGAGACTGAGAAGACACTAGAGCTTGTTCATCTGTTTTTTTTTTTTCAGTACCAGGGAATCGAACTCAGAACCTTGTGCTTTCAAGGCAGGCAGTGGCACAACTGAGCTAAATCCCTGGCCCGAACTTGTTCATCTTAAGAGTAATGTGTTAGTGAAGAGGGTCTCCCTAAAGAGGCATCCTGATTTTGCCTTTCCCTTTCTGAAAGTTGTCTATTCGGCTTTCCCTTCTATCTATTCTATGAGTTGCCTTAGTATTTTTCCAAAAATATCTTTATTATTTGTTTGAAAAAGATTATTTCCTGTCATTAAGATTTCAGCTTCTCTACAAACTTCCTTTTAACTTCTTGTTCTACTCACAGGAATAAAATTCATCAACTTTTCTTCTCCTCAAAGTTCTAGTGAAAATAATTAGAAAAAAATAGAAACTCCACAAATTAATCAGAAGAAAACATATGTGTACTTTCAGATTCATGTGAAACTAATATTCCTCTGAAGTGTCCCAAAGATAGACTAACAATTACTTTCTTTTGTTCTATCTAGGAACAAACCTATTCGGTCATTCTCAAAGTTGGACAAGGAAGGATATAAACAAGTAAAGAGTGTAGGAATGCACCATCTGAGACAATCTAGGGATAGATCAACAAGAGAAATAAAACAAGATTCTCAAGAGTGATCTTATTTGGTTTGTTTCATTACGACTGTTAAAAAGTATAACCTTGTTGCTATCATTCAAAATCCCCTGATCAAAACTAAACATAAAAAAACTCATCTGTCAATCTATTAATCTAAAATATATACTTAAGTGTCAAACATTATTCCAGGTTATTCACGATTCAATACTTAACAAGTGAAGTGGTCTCATATGCTGAGGAGAAATTTAATAAGTAATTTATAAAATAAATATGCAAAACAATTTCATATTTCTGGGAAGTAGAGGAAAATTAGAATTTTAAACAACAGTATATCTCTAAAAAAATGATAGCTGAAACTAAATTCCTAAAAAGAGTGATCAGATTAAAATGCTCTCCTTTTTCTAGTCATGAGTTTAGAAATATCACCAATCTCAGTATATTAACAATAAACATTAAGACAACTTAATATTAAATACTAGTCTGAGTCCAGGAAATAACTAGTTATCTAGAAATTGATCTTATCTACAAAAAAATTAGACAATTGTTCTATAAAATGAGAGGTGTATTTTGTAAGGCATTTCCTAATAGGCACTGCCTAATTGTACATTTTTACAATTGATGTACTGAATTTATTAGAAATCAAGTGTTAATGTGGACAAAAGCTCACACTTGACTCTTCTTGTGTTTAAAATAGGAAGGAGGTAACTGTTATACATAGCTGAGTGACAGAGTTCTGACAGTCCTTATGATGTCTGATTCAAGTAATTCTTTTTGTTTATTATTATCAACTACTCTGCTCTATCTATCTGAGACAGGATAGTTGCATCAAGATTAAGGGTCAGGAAGTGATATCAGAAAATAAGAAAACACTGTTATGTGAGCTTTTTTTTTTTTAATTGAGTTTATTGGTACATTTAGGGATACAGTACAGTTACATTCATTGTTGGGATCATGTACCTTTACATGGCAAGTCTTGATTCTCATTTTTTTCCCCTTACCTCTGTCCTCCCTTCACCCTCTCCTCCCCTCCCCATCTACAAACACTTTATTTTCATCTTTTCATTCTCTCACATTTTTTTCTTTTCCCTTTCTGTTCTTCCCCTACGTATCACACCTTCCCTACACCTTTAGCTCCTTTCCTCCCATTTCTAAATGTCAGTAATCTTATTAGAGTCTTATGCATTGTTGCAGAATATTCACACCAGGGAAACTATTTGGTATTTACACATGTGGGACTTATTTATTTCACTTAGGAGTATATCTTCAATATGTATCCATTTTCCTATGAATGAATCTATTCTCTCGCTCTTTATGGCTGAGTAATATTCCATTTTATAGAAAAACCACAACTTCTTTATCCAGTTTCCAACGGATGGGCAAATAGGTTGTTTCCAAGATTTAGCTATTACAAACTGTGCCGCTATAAACATGGGTGCACATACTTCTCTGTGATATGATTCTTTTAGTTCTCTTGGAAAGATACCCAACAGAGGGATGGCTGGGTCAAATGGAACCTCCAGTCCAAGCTCTTTGAGGTATCTCCATATTGATTTCCATAGTGGTTGCACTAGTCTGCACTCCCACCAACAATGGAGGAGGGTTCCTTTCTCCCCAGATGTGAGCTTTTTTTATATGGAGCAAGAACCCAGCTCTAGCTTATGCATCATGTATTGGATGTGCTAGTTTTATATCCATTTCAGTCAGACATATTATCTTCATACACCTACTATTTAAAATCATTCTGCCTACTACTATTGATAGAGTAAAACTGTCTAATTATCCCTAGAACTTAATTCACCTTTCCTTTTGTATTGATCCTATTCTAAAGAGGAAACTAAATGGAAGACATGCAACCTAAAGTAAACGACAAATTTGTAAAGCTCTTTAGGAAAAAATAAAAATAAAAAGAATAACTAAGTTAATAATTAAGATTCCATAGGAAAATGGATACATATTGAAGATATACTCCTAAGTGAAATAAATAAGTCACACATGTGTAAATACCAAATAGTTTCCCTGGTGTGAATAATCTGCAATAATACATAAGATCCTAATAAGATTACTGACATTTAGAAATGGGAAGAAAGGCGCTAAAGGTGTAGGGAAGGTGGGATGGGTAGGGGAAGGGTAATAAGGGAAAAGAAAAAAATGTGAGATAATGAAAAGATGAAAATAAAGTGTTTGTAGATGGGGAGGGGAGGAGGGGGTGAAGGGAGGGCAGGGGTAAGGGGAAAAAATGAGAATCAAGACTTGTCATGTAGAGGTACAAGATCCCAACAATGAATGTAACTGTACTCTATCCCTAAAATGTACCAATAAACTCAATTAAAGCTGAAAAAAATAATTAAGATTCATATACCTATCTTATATACTGCAAATCATACCTCACTGATTATTATTTTAAAGTACTACAAGAACAAAAGCATTTCATAAAACATTTCATAATATGATTATCAAGCAAAGTAAGTCTGCATATTAACTTTCCCGAGTAGCAAAAAATACATGAAACATCTAACAAAGATACTTACATTGGAAGGCTTCAGTTTGTTAATGATCGTTGTTTTGCCACTGTTATCTAGCCCAAGGCACAAAACATGAACCTCCTTCTTCCTCAGACCAAGCAAGCCTGAAAGTCTGTCTAACAATCCCATAATGTGATTCAAATATTTACAAAACAGCTGCAGGAAAATAAAAAAGGTGTATTATCCAAAGGTATCTTAAGTATGAAAGTATTGGTATGTGTACAAAAATTTAATAATTTAAAGACCCACAATAATACTCTTAAAAACTATGTCAATGTAGCTTTGCACTTAGTAAACAGCATAAGCTGATTATCAGAAAGAAGCCTTAACTGACATACACAGTGGCAGCCTATGACCCCTGTCTGTATAGAACAATGCCCTTGAAACAACCCCACTTCTCACTTCATTTATAATATTTAAGAAAAAAATGTGGTTAGCCTCAATATCATGTGAAGTCTGTCAACTAAAGCACTTCAAATATCTATGAAGTAGGTAGCAACCTTTCTGAGATTTGGAACAATATACAAGCAATGGGGTTCTTGTAGAATCTGATGCTGAAGATCAGAAAGTAGAAGGCAGATGAGAGTAGCAGAGAAAAAACTGAGATTTTAGTTACCTAAAACTTTATCTGAAGTCAGACCATTGTCATATTTTTCCATAATATGAAGTTATGAAAAAAAAACCCACTGTTTTTATTTGCTTGCTTGGTTACTTCCAGTTTGGGTAGGGTTTGCTATCTGAAGAAGTAAAGAATCTTGATGTATTTTAATCCTCATTTCCCCCTATCTTTGACATACATCTTGGCAAGTTACCATAAATCCATCTGGGAATAATGAACATACACATGGACAACTGTATTAACCTTTACTAGATATCTATTTTCCTAACTGTGACTTATCTCAAACATTTGCTATTTTTAAAGAGATATAATACTAGTATGGACAGGAAATTAATGCCAATTTCAGATTATAATTAAGTTTTCACAAATACTGCAAAAGTCACTTTTTTATCCTCTTCCTATTCTTTGCTCCACTGTGTCTATTTCTAGGGGGGAAAATCTGTATTTTGAAGTCAATTAAAAATGCTATGTTGTAACTTTATAGCTATTCATATCCATCTATAGCACTATTACATTTATATTTCAGGTTTCCAAATAAAAATTTTTAAAGAAGCTTGCTTGGCTCCATCTTCTCCCTCCCCATTAAATAGTACTAAATGACAAGAAAAGGAAAACATCAGTTTTGCCAACCATCAAGTGGTAGAGGTGCTGCTAAAATACAACTGTGTACTAAATATTTCTCATTACTTTCTGAATCTTTATTTTAAAAGTTCTCTAAATATTAATCTCACTTAATTGATTTATTATCATATTCATCCAAGGTTCTATAAATGTATCATCTGATACCTCCTTTTGTATCTTTTATTCTCTAACATCCTGGGCAACGCTAGACTTTGAAGGATATAAGACTATACCAACTTAACTTAGAGGAAGCTTTCAAGAAAACTGCATATCAAAGGAGGCTGTTAATTGACCTTTTGCTAAGGTTCCTTGGGACATCATTGCAGGTATGTTTCAAAACTGAAAAGCAGAAAAGACAGGGTGTTGTACCTCACTAGTGGGTGGGGCCTATAATATAGCCATCTTGCTCTTATCCAGGGGATGGGCTTGACTTCAGGTACTTGTATTTGAGCCAAAGGAATCAATATTTCTCTTCATAATAAAAATTCAAACCCCCATTCAAAATATTTCTTTGAATTTCAGCTGATTCTGGATGCTCTGTTTTAAATTAATCTTCCAACATAAAAAATATGTACTTCTTGTTTTTCATTTTCCAAAGAATTCTGAATATATTTTAAGACGTGTAAATACTTCTCATATGTTCCTCTTCTGGGCATTTATTATAAAGCACTGATTGCTAAAAGGCTGGTGCTTTAATGTTCATTTTTCATAGTATCTTTTATTTTGTCTTTCCATCCTTTTTCTGTGGATTGTTAAATACATTACTGAAATATTTTGGGATATACAATTTCAAATAGTTTTTCTAAAGAATATTATCATATTTATGGAAATTGATTTATAAAAGGAACTACAATGTAGCCTATATACATTTCAAGTTCTAGTAATCATAATTTTCCTTTTATAAGTTCTATGTATAAATGAAGGAAATAAAAAATAATTCAAGCCACTCCCATTTATTTACCATGTTCTAACATCAGAATGGGACACAGAAATTTCTCTATAGCTTCCTACTCTCATGGTCATAATTTTCAACCCTAGTTGCATTCTGGAATCAACTGTTGAAATCAGAATTTCTGAGAATAGGACCACAGTATCTGTAGGATATTCATAGTTCAGTATATTATCAGTTTTAAAACTTACACACTTTTTTTGATATGCAGTTCCCATTAAGAACTACTAGCTTACAGAATAAAGTACATGCAGTTTTTTTCAATGAGAAAAGCATAATAAATGTAAGTTTTAATGACATAGGAACCCTCAGAAAAAGACCCAATCTGTGAAACTACTCTATTTTAATGCACAGATTTGATGAAAAATGGACAGACTGTAGACATGTGACTGGACACAGGGCACGATCTAATGGTAAAGCCTGTCTGTGCAGGGTCTTCTTGATCTCTCTGTGAGCAATCTATTTTCTTATCTATGGAGCAGGACCTCCCTGAATGAGAATCTTCCAGGGAGAAAAGAGAAGGCAGAGCAACCTTTCTAGGGTTTATGTTTACTTTGGGACAGAGGGTTCTAGTTTCCCTGACTTGTCATGGGAAAGAGGAATTCTGATTTCTATAACTCTTTTCAGGGGAGCAAAACAGGCAGGAGAGAGAAGGGCAGAAGATCAGAGAGAGTTTGCTTCAGAGTCCCTTTCAAGAGTTCGCTTTTAGCGGCCATTTCAATTCCAGGAACTCAACATTCCAAAATGCCACACTGTACCCCAACACTATCTTAGTTATATCTATACTTCCAGTATTTTACTCAGAGTACATACTTAACAAATATTTGTAATATATATACTCAAACAGAAAAACTCCATGGGTCACACTTGGAAAACTGATCCTTTAAGAAATATGCCCAGGCACCTGTCTCACAAGTGCAAGGTCCCAAGTTCAATCTCCAGTACCAAAAAGAAAAGAATAAATATGCCTAGGGCCAGGGATTTAGTGGGTCAGTGATTCTGCCACCTGCTTCACAAGCTCAAGGTCCTGAGTTAAAGCTTCAGTACAAAAAAAAAGGCAAATTGTTAATTGTAAACATCTTTGTTTACACATTTACTTAGAAATATATTTCTACAGGTAGAATTACTGGGTCAAAATGTAATATTATTTATGTTTTGATAGATACTGTGGCACTGTCTTTCAGAAACTTCTATGAACACTTACCAACAGCAGGTGAGGATTTCAATTCTTCTGTTTTCTTACCAACACTGGGTATCATTAAATTTTTCAATATCTGCTAATCTGAAAAGAAAAACGTGGCACTGTAGTATTAGTTAAATTTGCATTTGTTTCACTACTATAAAGTTGAACATTTCAGAATTTAATTCCATTAACATTTCTTGTTTCATGAATTATCTGCTATATGCCAGTGCCTATTTTTCTACTGGGCTCTTTCTACTATTGATATCTAAGAGACCTTTCCATATCAAATTATTGCAAATAGTTTTAATCAGTTAAAATTATATTTTATTCTTATTTATGTTGTTTTGTGCCATACAGAAGTTTTAAAATTTATTTAATGATATCTACAAAATTTCATTTTTTTTCATTGTTAGGTTCAGAAAAATTTTCCTCCTCAATATTTTCAACCTATTAGCCAATACTGTTTTGTCTTTTTAAAGTTTCAGTCTTTATACTTTAAATTTTTATTTGCCTGAAATTATATGGTCTTTATTGTTGTTGTTGTTGCTGTTGTTATCACTTTCCTTCCTACCATTACCCCCTTACTAGTTAATTTTTTTCTTATTTTTTTTAACCTTCTAGCTTCCTACACGTTGGGTCTGTTAGTAGATTCTCTATCACTGGATATTCCTAATAGCATTCTTTGGAAGATGATCTTAATAAGTATCTTCAGAAGCATTTCAAGGTCATGCAAGTTTGGAAAATTTGGGACTTTATAAATTTGAACAGGTTCCTATAGAGTAATACTCCTCAGACTCCTTAATATACTAAAATTCATTGCAAATCTATAGGAGATGCATTAAGATAGCAGTAATTTTAGATGAGTATTTATTTATGGAAAACATTTTGGGAAGTTTTTTAACTGCACATAATTTGGATGAGCAGATTTACTCTTTTATTGATCCGTCTATCCCTAGATCAGTACTACACTTTTAATTCACATACAATTACAATATATTTCTTCATATGAAAATGTAATGTCCTCTTATGAGTGTTTTTTTCAAACTATGAGTGATTTCTTACAGTTTGCATGCTTTTTATAGAAGATTTTACTTAGTTTTAAAAAACAAAGAAAGTAGTCTAGAAACCTGTAATATTAATATTTCTATTAAATTAATATTTATAATAAATTATTTTTTTAAACGAAGGGAAAATATGCCATGAAAATGTTGGTAATTCTGGAGAAATACAAGGATAGATCATGTCTAATTTTTTTCCCTTTCTCCTCTTTCCATTCCCTTCAGTTTAAATTTAGAGAAGGTAAGATCTTGGACAAGAACAAGGTTTTCCAAAGGCTAATTATAAACTCTCTGAGATTGGTCCATATAACAAAAACAAACAAACAAAAACACCCGAGATTGAGAGAAACTAACAAATCAATGAGAAATGAGATCAGTGGATATTTTGATAATCACAATTCTGAACACAGGAAATAAGTGGGATTCAGAGTTGGACAACAAGCAGTTAATACAGGCAGCAGATGTCACAAAATATACTTAGCAAATTTTGATGTTCCAAGTTGTTTTACTTCAAAACTGCAGTGAAACTTAAATTTTTAAAAGAAACTTATAATCCTGGTTCGAGAAAAAGGTACAAACTTGATACTGCAACTAGATAGCATAAGCCAGTAAGTAGAGCACCACTACTGAATGGTTTAGGGACAAAATATGCCTTCAGTTTAAAATCTTCCTTTATGTATCTTTATGTACCTTATGACACTGGCAGAATTAAGACAACTGAGGAAAATGTTCTATAATGCACAGTTCCTGTGCTTGAATCAAGATTACTTTGGTTTAAGTATTAACCCTGCTACGAGTTGTGTGACTTTATGAGTTGACAGTGTTCTTCAATGACTGGTCTTGCATAGATACTAAGTTATTCAAAATCTCAACCCAATCTACCTTTTCAGTTACTCATTTACACACCAGCCAATTTTCCAGGCTGCTATCTGAGAACCAGCTTCCTACACGTTGCCAGAAAAGCCCAGAAGAATTAGGATATTATTTAGAGCTGTAAGCTAGAAAGGTAAACTGCACACTGAGATGGGAACCGAAAAAGAACACCCATGAAGGACACTTTGTAAATTTTAAACATATTTGTGGATACGTTACTACCTCATGTAAACATTACTCGACATTCAGTTTCTGATAATTAAATTTCAATTTCTGCATTTTCCATATTTTACAAAGGCCCAAACCGGGCACTGTTAAAATTAACCAACCAACTAAGCAAGCAACATTCGTTCACAACAATTCGATGCATATTTTAGGGTCGCTAGTACTCACCACAAAAATTAAATTTTCTTTTTCCACCTTTCATACATTAGAAACAACTACTCGCGTGGGGTTCAAAACGTAGGAAACATAAAAAGGAATTCTAAAACTGACAGGGAGGTGACCTCTGGTTATAAAACTTGAAGAAATAGGGCTATACCTGAACTTCGAGGACAGTACGGAGGGCCCAAGAGTAGGTAAGGAACCGGAATGTATGCACTCAGTCTTTCCCGCCAGTGGGATTGGAAAGTGGTGCCTCAGCCTTCTTCTCTACGCCTCCATAGGAAAGATTCCTTGCCCAGCGCAGAGCCGCCTCTACAAGTTAGGGGAACTGGCAGCTTCGGCCTCAGCCGAAGCATCAGTTGCTGCGGAGCAGGCGCTGTGGCGCGCGGTGTTCCCTTGGCAACAGGAGCTTCTTCCGGTCCTGAAGCCACACCTTTTCGGAAAGCCTGGCGATTCAGCTGATTGTGCTTTTATTTCTGGGGTTGCAAGGCTCTGGAAAAGAGCCATAGAGACTCCAGGGAACACTGTTACGGAGAACGTGAGCACAGGTGACAAGACGAGCTGTCGATTATTCTGCGAGTATTTGCGTAGTCACCCGTGGAGTATGATGGGAGTTGTAGGCATTCGCACAGCCTGCTGGGTAGCATCTGGCGCCAGCTTTCGCTGGGAGTCGGTTTCTCTACGCGGGTCGTCCCAAGTTCTTAGGCCTTCTGGAGGACCGCCTTGTGCGTGGAGCCAGGAAAGCCCGAATCCTAGCATAGTTGGTAGACACCGGCGCAACGTGGTGATAACTGCAGGAAGCAGCGGTGCCGATTGGGGCAAGGTGTGCGTCGCAGTTGCCCAACTGAGCATTACACATGCAGTACCCCGGTTCTGCTAGGCGTCAGAATCCTGGAGAAGGAAAACTGTTATCATAGTGAGGGGCGAGAAAATGGTCTAGAAAGTTGTCAATTACTATCTGTCGATAAATTATTTTTTTATCTATGAAAAATACAGTAAAAGCCAAAAAATATTATTTGGCAAAATAAGTGTGCTTGTGAACCTGGTTCTCTGCTGTTTGGACCTCTTGAAAGATTTCCACCCGGCATAATCTCTTGTGAATGATTAGTCTCCAGAATCAAGTCGACTGGTGGTCAGGATAGGCATTAAAAGTCAAAAAAATCAGCCATGACCTTAAAGTGCACTCGGATTTTATAGTAGTTACAAAGGATCCTCAAATTGAAAATATTTAAGCTTTCCCCCATATTTTATTTTTACTGTTCCAACAGCCAGACTATAACTGCAGTCATTTTAAAGATCTACTATTTTTTGCCAGCCTATTTGTCCAGACGCACCAGCCTTACCTCTCAATGAATTGCTTCTATGATTGTAAACGTTCCTTAAGGATGTTTCTTTCATTACCTATGACTATAAAACTATTTTTCCTTTCCAACTAAACAGTTTTATGTTTACTTCACTACTTGTTCTTTAGTCCATTCATTAATTTGGTTTATTAAACTACTAGTGTAAAAAGACGAGAGAATTTTGTCAAAGTGACGATGAGAATAAAGGTTGTGCATGTATAATTCTAAGTTTTTTTTTTCTTTTGTTGCATTTCCAAATTTCTAACTGTAGTTATTTTTACAGTGGAAAAATATTTTGGGGGGCTGTAACTGTTTTAAGGCAGAAACAAAATGAAAACTGCCAGTTGCATATACAAATTATTGACATTTAAATATCTTCTATAAATGGAGAATAAAAATATACTGTTCTTTACTGTGTCTACAATTAACCCCTCTCTTTGCTTCAGCTTCCTCACCTTCAGAAAGATACGTTTTCATCTAGTGATTTTCAAGATTAAAGAGATAACACGTGTAAATGTTTAGCATATAGTAGGTGTTAAAGGATAAGCAGAGATTTTACATTCCAGAAAACTTTCTTAGATAGACTTAATTTTTCCCGTTTCCTATATTTTCTCCTCTAGTTTGAGTTCATTTACTTTAACCTAGTACAAAACATTTGTTGAAAACGGAGGATATAATAGGTGGCTCCAGCATCTGATTTAGGCATATAGATAATTCTTTGACAATAACAACACAAAAAAGCTAAGCAAATAGTTATTTTTATGTGTGTAATGATGTGATGGGCTATTAATGTTAGAGATGAACTAGCTATCATGAAATCTACTCAATAATCTAGAAAATATCAATCTCCAAAATATTCACCAAAAAAGTAAATATTTCATTGGTTTTAATTTTTTTTAAGTAAAATAAAAAAGTTTACTCCATCATTAATCTTCTGTTTTGCCGCTTTGTCAGTTGAAACTGCTTTCAAGAGTAGACTTTGGGCTCAGCATGACATATTTCCAATATATTTAGATTACACTTTATTATGAAAATAATAAGCTTTCAAAATAATATATGTTTTTTTAAAACCTACTTAAGATACGTAGGTCAGAGAAGAGAATTTTAAGTACTTCCTAATGAGTTTAATTTCATACTGGTTTTGGAACTGTAGTAGGAAAATACGAGATACATTGAATGCTGTACCATTCTGATTAATTCAATATCTCTTAATGTATTTTGTTATCAGCAACTTTTATAAGAATATAAAAAATTGCCAATTTATAATTTATTGAAAGTTTTTAAATGAACACTGATGCTTGTGTTTGAAGAGTTAAATATGGGGTGTTATGTCTTTTTATCATCTGCAATTTGTGGGTATTCCCTCTACTTTGAACAATTTATTTGAAATATTACAAATATTTTGCTAATAGAAAATCACTGCAAAAATCTGTACTACATATTTATAGTGATTTGTGAACTTGTGTCTACTTCTTAATGTCATTAGTTATTTGAAAAATTACATCTATGATTTTACATCCAGAATTACTAAAGTTCTAAACAGGATCTAGATTTAATAGACTAAATATAAACTACATTATGCATCATGCTCATCAATACAAGACTCAGATTCAACCACCAGAACTGTAACTTTTATTTACTAATAGATATTGTAATAAACAGGCTTACTCCATCTGTAAGACCCTGATAACCCCTCTTAGGAAATCATAGAAAAATAAAATACAGTAATTAGTAATTTGTACTTTGTACAAAAATCTTTTTATGTTGCTCAGCAGGTAGTTTTGCTAAACACCATATTCTTTCAGCAAGTAGATGACATATGTAATGCAATTCACCACAAACAATCTCTCATGTTGAGAGCTGAGCATTCTATAACACTATTAAGTTGTAAGCATGCCAGCACATGAAAATTTACATGGAACATCATAATATTATAGTAGATTTTTTATAAGATGAAGGCAATACTACTTTTAAATAAATCTGAAGTACTTTACTGCTCGAGTAAAGTAGATAATAGGTAGATTGCAGCTCAGTGAACACCCTTTTACTATACTAATCTCTCTACCATATTGTGATTGCAACCAGAAAAGAGAAAACAGGCTATGTAAGGAACCTGAGTGGAAAGTATGTATTGAAGCTCTAAATGGTGATATACCAAGTTGAAAAAAAATGTGGTGCTGCACTTCCTTATTCTCACAGATATTTTCCTCACCTTTTGTAAGAGAAGATGGATAGTGCTAACTCCCTAATTAATGATAAGTAAGTTCATGTCAAGTTACAAATACATAGTTTAAAAAATGTAGAAAGGAAAAATATTTTTAGCTGCAGTTTTTATTAATTAAATATAGCTCTAGGAGGGATTAAATTTCTCAACCTAGACAAATCTTATCCAAACATTTTATAGAAATATGCTATTTAGTATTAAATCTTTTATATCTTATTTTGTGTGCACCACAACTTTTGAAATTATCTGAAATTCAAAATAGCCATTTAAAATTTGATATGGCCATTTAAATATATAAAGTGTCTAAATACACACGTATACATATATCTTTATGTTTTGGGCTCTGATAGAAGAGCAAAATAAAGGAGAACAAGCTTATTCCATAATTTACAATTCCATAATTTACAATAAATACATATTTTAAATTCCTGCATATTACATACAGCATATCCAGAAATAATTCAGCAAGCATTATTAAAAGGTCATATCTTCCAATTAGTGTAGAGGGGTACAATGAACAATCATCTTGTCCATTTGTTTCTAGTAAATGACAATTGACAGAAGGTCTTGACATTTTCCATACATGAAAAAAATAACCAATAGAGTTTTACTTAGATGAATAATGTCTATTTGCCTTTTTAAAAAATTCACATGGGAGTTCAATACTCTCTAAAATAATATTTGAGACAGGTTGAATATACATTTCTCAAGTTTAAACTAATTTGTTATTTTTGGTTTTGAATTATAACAGAATAGCCACAAAATGTTTGTCTTTTACTCTGTAATAAAGATAAATAAATAATACAATATAAGACATATCAAAGGCATTGAGAGGTCCTTAGTCTCTACCTTATGAAAAAACAGACTCTTGTCAGAGTACTTGGACAGCAAAATTTTAGGTCATCCAATAAGAGGCCTTACTACATTTAACAAAAAGATGCCTTTGAAATATAGTTTTTTCCTATTTTGCATCACACACATGAATACCCATTATATATTATATATATGTA